GCATGGAGCCGGCTTCCCGGCCAATCAGGAAGCTGGACAGCATGTAATTACTCGCCGCCCGGCTTCCTTAGTGGGACCTCTGGTATCGGTTAAACAAAAAAAATAAAATTATGTATGTATGTATGTATGTATGTATGTATGTATGTATGTATGTATGTATGTATGCATACACATTATATATATATATATATACATACACTGATTGGCCAGATTATTATGACCACTTGCTGTTTGTAGGAAAATTTGTTATAATTTGGAGCTGAACTCAGATTCCTCGCATCACCTTTCAACATCTCGTGGAGTCACGAGGCGGCCCAACGAAGTCATCTTGTGGAGTCATCTCGTGGCCCAACGAAGTACTGATGGGGTGGTCATAATAATCTGGTGCGTGTGTGTATATTCGTACTCGAAAAACCGGTATGGGTGCATCCCTAATATAGAGGGTTTTTATTTTTGTTAATTTGACTGCAAAAGTGCAACTAGACTTTATGATAAACCTTTCTTAAAAGAACTATGTGGACTGCCATTTCTCATCGCTTTGTGTTAGTTGCCTTGCTTTTATGCTATGCCAGTGGCACGCTGGGGGTGCACTAGATCTTCATCCCCCACCCATCCTGTAAATTAACATGATGTAGTAATGGGGATATCGGGGCCACTTTTCCGTCAGACTTCAAGTGACATTAAAAGGATATTCTACCACCCTCCAATGCTAGTGTAAGCACTTACCTTAAATGATGCCTCTTGATCCGATCATCTTCTTTCCTGTAGTTTTCAGCTGTCCCTCCAGTGCTGGTGCCAGTCTCCGATCCAGCACTTACTGCTGTTGCCCACGGAGTCTGTGCGGGTGCAAGCTGCTGGGCTGCTTGCATTGACTTACCCTGTGTTTCTCCTCGTCTCCCGGCCAAAGATCTGTAATGCGCATGCGCCTTACCCATGATCCTTTGCAACTGCCCGAGATTTTTCAGATCTTTGGACGGGAGCACGTGGCGGAGACACAGGTAGGTTTTAAACCTTTTTTTTTCTTTTTATGTTTTTGCATATATATGTTGCTTGCTAGCAGTAGATATATGCAAATACCCAGAGGGTTTAATTATCGTTTCAGATACAGAGCTCCTCCTCAGTTCTGGAGCATTATTACACAAGAGGTAGTATGGAAAGGTCAGATTTTTCCTGGCGGGAGTGTTTTTTGTTTACTTCAATTGTGTAGCTCTTATTACTTGCTTCATAAATTGTTGTACATACCTATGTACCGTTCGCGATCATCAGTCTGCCCCCCAAATGCCACCTTGCCACAGGACAGAAAATCTTTCACTTCTTTGTAATGTTCAACACTTGCTATGCGTCCATAATGCTCAGACTCTTGTGGGTTTCTGCCATAAAATTCATGGACACACAATTCAAGTTCCTGGATCAGAGGGTCCCTTAAACCTGGATGACACAGAACATATTCTGGAGCCAGTGAATTCTGACCAGCATTTATAAATCGAGCCCAGGCAATCCTATGGGCAGTCATATTAAGATCGCATGACTTGTCCACATAGCAGGGATTTTTTCCTCCAAGAATCATAGAAACCGGCGTAATGTGTTTGGCTGCTGCCTGCATTACCTGCCTGCCAGTCAAACGGTCACCTGGAACACAGAAGACATTACTTGCAGAATATCTCAGCACAGATGTTTAGAGGTTAACTATAGGGTCTGTTCCAAGGTGCAAGTCTTTATTTGGTTATGACGGGCTTTTACTATGCATGCTTGACATTATCACCAATATACTGCAAAAAAACTTCTACAATTAAGTATGCTAATGACAGTAATTAGTAAGTTGCTAAAATACAATCTAGAATTGGTTGAAATACTATTACATAGCTGGTCGATATGCTACCTTCAAGTGTGCATTTTAGTCCTAAAACATCTTGGCACCAACGGTCATGATTGGGTGGTACGAGGAAGAAGAGTGTCTTTCCTACTTGTCTTAAGCCAATGTGAAAAAAAAAGGGCAAAGGATTAATACCTATAAAGAAGATATGGTCAAACTTGTTCTCTAGAATTTCCAGAAGATCCCCGTGTTCTCCAGAAAGCACTTGGAAACAGCTCTGAAATAAAGCAAATTAGTAAAAGTTATAGAACTTTAAAGTAGGTTCTGAAATTTTGGAGCATTAAGAGAGGGGAAAGGAGGGACACGAAATATAAGATTATAACTGACCTACAAACCCACTAGGAAAGTCTGGAGTCCACAGTACTCTATATAGCAACCAAAATTAACACTGTTTAGAACTATAACACAGGGAAACAGAGATATAGGCTATAGTTCTCTGTGTAATACTTTAGTTTTCTTCTGTCCATAACTTTATTGTTGTTATATAATTAAAAGGTGCATTTATCATTATTATTTCAGGAGTTCATAATTCCAGAGTGTATGATACTATTGCAGCAATATAGCCCACTTTCTTTTGATATGGTCGATCTTACTTAAAATTGTTGTAGCGTCACCTGATAAATGAAAGATTCCCTCCAGCCCATCTCCTCCTCCTCCACATCAGCATTGGAATCTTCCTCAGCCTCCTCATGTCCATACACCGTGTATAGACGTGATGAAACTTTAAACTGCTGCAGAGGAGTGGGAGAGACGCTGGAAGAACCAGTCTAAGAAAAAGCCGTCTCAGAGCATTGGGTGAGTATAACTTTTCTTTGAACCTAGACACAAATGACCACCCCACTGCAAGGGTTAATATAAAACATGTTCCTGGAATTCTAAGTGAAAAGTGTAATCCAGTGATCCTTCATATGTTAAGACACAGACAGGCAATGTTATAATTAATGTTGAACTAATTTCAATGAGACTATGATTTTTATCCCCTAAACAACGTTCATTTATCTTCACTTTCGTGGGTGGATGGTACAGTTCATAAAAATGATCACTTTAAAAGTGAAAGGATACCTTTGGTAGCTTTCTTTAGAGAAGACACTTACTAGGCAGTCATTGTTTAAAAAAAAAATCTATCCATTACCACTGGGGTCCTGGCAGTGGAAGGATAAGATCTGACTGGTTATGCCAGTTTGCTACATTTTTCAAGTAAAAAAAACCCGGGGGTATGACTTAGCATCAACAGGTACTCTTCCAGCCCCAACAATTTGTCACCCGACAACTGACTGGGGTGCACTCTTGCCAATTACTTTGTTTCCAGCGGAGGACTAGGAAAATCCCTCTCTCCTCCTATAGAGAAGAGGACAGGTAACAACACTGTTTTTCTATAGTAATAGTATTGTTGGTATGCGTTGTCAACCTAAGAAAACAAGTGCGCTACTAGCAAGATTATGAAGGGAAAAAAAAAAAAACAACAAGCTTAAAAAAGGACAGCCCATACTTCAAAGCAGCACATATAAAGTAAAAGTACAATGGCCTGGTTAAAGTTGAAGAAAGAAACCACCTTGCGAAAGGGGGCCTTAGAAGTACCTAATCCCCGTAACACTAAGAAAAGGCTCTTTACAGGATAAGGGCACCAATTCTGAAACCCACCTCACAAAAAGGTGATAGCAATGAGAAAGAGATCAGATAACGAAAACATCCCATTCCCTAATGGGTTCAAAGGGTAGGCTCTGATCGAACCAGATTGAGAACCTGCGGTGTCACAGCCTCATACCATGTAAAATAAGCCTTCCAGGTATGATGGTAAACCTTGTGAGAAGTTTAAAATTCTAGCTTTCAGGAGTGGCAGGATGACCAAATCAGATAGGCCCCTGTCCCTCAGAACCTAGCCCTCAACAACCAAGCTATTAAAACCAGTGACTGAGAAGCACGATGGTGGACCAGCCCTTGGGACAGAAGGTCTGAAAAAACTAATTGGAGACTGCCAGAAGCCTGAGTATGTAAGTGTACCACCACAGTCTACTGGTCCAGGACAATAAGAATCAGTGGGATGCCCTTCATCTTGATTCTGTGGAGCAGACGAGGGAGATGCTTTTAATATGTGGAAAGGCATTGATTAGGCTGAACTGATCCCATAGAGTCACCAGACATCCACATCAAAAGGTGGGGTTAAGACTGATCCTGTGCCCTGTACTTTACAATTAGTTTTTTGGTTTTGATATGCTTTAACCAATTGTTGGCTGTCACCTTATATGGAGCACACTGAAATCAATGTATTTTAACGAGAACTGTCAGCATGCAATTAAATAAAGCTGCAAATACATTTATTCGCCAGTGCGCCGCTAGCCTAAATGCAACCTGTGTGATTGGTCACAAACTATTGCTGGAATTTGAGGACCTGCTTCACGTGGAACTAAAGCCAAAACGTTTTTGTTCCCCATTTCAGATAGTGTAAGCCCTGTATGTTTTTGCCACTTTTTGTCCAATAGCCACAACAGAAAGTAAATGGAAATACCTTCAAGCCCTGGTTGTTATCAAGGTCACCAGAACAAGTCCCCCGTTAGATTTTCCCTCTATTTCTGTTCTAATGACAGCCCGAAATTATCAATATTTGCAGGAAGCCCTGAGAGATGCCTCTAGTGACCAATGTGAAAATGAATGCATAGCGAGTAAGAATTTATATAGACTAATGGTTGCTGTAGATATCAATTCCTCTTATATTAGCACATAAAATGAATTACTACAATTCCACACTTACATTATCCATGTAATTGGGGAGGAGCGTGTGCAGCAAGTGTGCCGTGTGGAAAAAGGTTTCTGAAGGTTTCACCATCACACAGTTGCCTGTGAAATTGAAGCAAAATGTTGTAACTACTTTAAACTACACTTTGAAAAGGTCTCAGAATTATTCCACAGCTGTAGTCATTCCTTTTTGACATCTTGATATTTGCCACCAACCTTTTTGTCAGACACAACTGCTAATAAGCCAATAATTACATTGCTGAGGCACATGGTACATTGTTTTGCCAAGTAATATCAATATTTTATAAGCAATATCCCACTTTAATCATTTACTTAAAGTTTAAGAAAAACTATTTCTGGATAAAGCAGGGACGGGTTACAGCCTTTTTGGTTGTTAGACAAAGCCAAAAACACATATTTGGAGAACTTCCGACGATGTTCTTATGGATGACAAACGCACATTCACTCCACCATATGTGCTCTAAAAAGGTGTTAGAGTAACACACAACAACCCTCTGAGTTGTCATGCGTTGCCATTTATTGACAATGGTAGTTTACAGTGTGCTGCAACAAACCTATGCTATAGCGCAACACAGTAAAGGGTCTAAACATTCTTAAATTAAATAATGCATCCCCTTTTTTCTCCATGTGTTTAGTTGCGCTTAAAGCACATTCAAAATGAATGGACTGTCTAACACAATGCACTGTGATGCAAGAAAAAGCTTGTGGTACAGCGTACTGGGTTGCAGTGTGTATGAGCCCTCACGATTGGCAGACTCAGCACTGTAATCTGTAATAAACTTGCCAATTGTATCCTCTATACTTGTATAACTGAAGCAAACAAAAAAGACCACTATTATGACATACTGGGACATTTATCAAATCTGATGCACAAAAAAAAGGCAATGCGAAGGGTAATGAGACATTATAATATTGCAGCTTGAATCATAAATTCCACCTCAACTGCTCTAAAGTAGCACTGTGACAGAATAAAACCTAACCCTGACCACTTCTTAACCGTGTCCCTCTGGAGTGAAAATTCTGTCTTATCTCGTGTTAATTATATATGTACACCGGTAAAGAAATTTGTTTTGGTTCATTTCGGATTTTTGTTAATTTGTTTTCCGGGATTCTGGTCCGAAAGTCCATTCATTTCGGTATTTGGATTCGTCCAAATCCAAATGTCTGTCAATTTCAGATACGTTAGATAATTACGAATGAACATTTGTTGACGCAAAGTGACATTAAATAAAATACACAAACTGTTACATAGGACTTTGCTAATTGTGAGACACCCCATTTTGTGTTTAAATCTCATGCTTATTACCTTGATAAATGTCCCTGGCTGTTTTTTTTTAGAACTGTATACAGTCAATGCATGCAGTATTCAGTGTGCAAATTCCCATTTTTTTTTATTGCACATGCCTTTATTTAAAATGTTTTCAACATTCACATGCAGGCAGATTAAAAGGAACAACAATACTGGTGTAATTACCATAATATTTTATGCCATGTCAAACAAACCTGCATCACATGCAACGTTCATATAAAGTAAAAAAAATACATAAAAATGGTCACTAATCATTGTACCTACCTGCAGCCACTGCACCAACCATAGGTATAAGGCAAAGCTGCACTGGTAAACTCCATCCAGCAATAATCAAGACAACACCTACTGGTTCCTTTTGAATATAGCAGCTGTCTAGGAGGGAAGCCTGGGTTGAGAAAGAGTAGTGGAAAAAAAAGAATAAATAAATCTTGGCTACTCACCTAAACCCAGCAACAAAATAATTTTGTATTTGCCTGACAAGCAAATCAGATCTTAAAACATACCATATTTTTTTGCACTGGCTCTGGCTTCATCCATTTTTCCAGGTTGTTTATAGCATAAATGGCCTCATTCCTTACAGTTGTGATTTCTGATAAAACAGTTTCAAACCTGGGCTACAGAAGATGGATGGTGAATTCACAGGAGAGTATAACTAATAGGAAATGTTCAGAACTAATTACATGACATGCATTTCACAGTAAAATTCAAATGCTTTTCTCGATTGAAAGAATTTCAAAAGCAATGATAGAGCATGTATGTTTTCAATATATGCAGCGCCAACGAAAAACGGTGGATAAATTGAGTGAATGTGGTTAAGACAATATACCGCAAACAATAAATGTACTGAAATTGTTAATCCGTGAATCAAACTTAAAAATGTGGAAATATACAACAAATGTACATATATACATATCAAATAAATTGAAAAAGTTTTTTAAGACAAGTGCTGTGTACTTTCTTTTTTCAAACACCATGGGTGCAATAAGGTGTTCCAAGTGTGGAAAGTTTATAAATTCAAAGAAACAGAAAAATGTTCCGTGATAATTGTTGGGGATGCGGGCTAATGCCGTACGTCTCCCCTCGGGGTGTGTACTCACCACAATGTAGTGGCTGTAGTAAGCAGCCTGAAACGCTTTGAAGGAAACAGATTTTCCCGCAGCCGTGACGTCCTCGCCGTAACTCTCAACGGTCCCCAGCCAGCAGACGGTTTGTCTCCAAAATCATAGAAGAAAAGAGCCTCTCATTGCGTAGCAATTTCAAAAAGGATTTTATTTGAATCAAGTAAAAACAGGACAACGAAATCCAAAACCCCTGAGGACGTCAGTAAGACGAAACGCGTAGGGGCGGGCCTAACCTTATGCTACACCAGACACAGGAGTTTACAGAGTATCCTGTCTGCCGATCGGAATTTTTTTTGGATTTCGTTGTCCTGCTTTTACTTGATTCAAATAAAATCCTTTTTGAAATTGCTACGCAAAGGAGAGGCTCTTTTCTTATATGATTTTGGAGACAAACCGTCTGCTGGCTGGGGACCGTTGAGTTACGGCAAGGACGTCACGGCTCCGGGAAAATCTGTTTCCTTCAAAGCGTTTCAGGCTGCTTACCTTCAGCCACTACATTGTGGTGAGTACACACCCCAAGGGGAGACATACGGCATTAGCCCGCATCCCCAACAAATTATCACGGAACATTTTTCTGTTTCTTCGAATTTATAAACTCTTTTTTTGAATTTATAAACGTTCCACACTTGGAACACCTTATTGCACCCATGGTGTTTGAAAAAAGAAGTACACAGCACTTGTCTTAAAAAACTTTTTCAATTTATTTGATATGTATATATGTACATTTGTTGTATATTTCCACATTTTTATTAAGTTTGATTGATTCACAGATTAACAATTTCAGTACATAAATTTACTGTTTATTGTTTGCGGTATATTGTCTTAACCACATTCACTCAATTTATCCACCATTTTTCGTTGGCGCTGCATATATTGAAAACATATACGATCTGACCTTTGTTGGTCCTTATTGCCGCAGCCTTCTTATTTAATCACTTAGTTTAGTTTAAGACAGCACACTTTTGTTTCACCCATCCAGCGCAGAATCAATAAACACATAATGATAGAGCATGATAGTGCTCACACCCCCTGCTATTGTGTCAGGGAGATTCACCCTCTGTTTATCCTGGTGGTTACCATTACTAAAAAGCGGTTTGTTGGAGATCAAAAGCTTTGCAGTTGCCACTGGAGCAGAAGGAAATCTTTAGACAGAAAAACCTGTTCATGTGACATCTAAGAGGGGATTTCCCCTCACATTGCTGTTTCTCTGGGATGGGAAGCAAAGTAAAATAACCCCAGTGAGACAAAGCAAACAAAAAGAAAAAAAAAAGAAGGATTTTGGCTTTAAAAATTTACTTCAGTGCATGAATTACTAGTTTCTAAGAAACTGCTAGAATCTAGGGACATTCAGCAGATGGCAGCCAGAGACTGTGGCCATCCTACAGCGGAAACGGCCAGAGACTGTGGCCATCCTACAGCGGAAACTGCCAGAGACTGTGGCCATCCTACAGCGGAAATAGACTGCAGACAAGCTCGGGTGACAGTCAGGAACAGGAAACTGGGACATGTTAGATGAGGCTGCTAAAGATCATTACCATTACAGGCCCGTTGAAAAGCAATTACAATTGCGCCTTACAACTCCTTAAAAATTACTGGTGCCACATTTGATCTCTCCAAGCAAAACCCATTATATAAGATGAAAAAGAAAAAACTATACGTTGAGATAAAAAGGGATTAGACAGCACAGAAAAAATTTAAGAAATAAACCAAAACAATTGATCTAGCAAAGGAAAGCCTAATAAATCTTTTCCTTTACTGGCATGATAAAGCAACCAGGCAGGGAAACAAATGGCTCCTGGAGCATAAGGACCACACAATAAAATGCCAGAGGGCCGCAAATTGGACCCCAGGGATCTAGGCTAACAAATAATGGTTTATTGCTACTCCTATCTAGTCCCATGATGCTTGCATACAATACTCCCACTCACGTCTCCACTTTGCTAAAGAGGCAACAATAACGCATTTATAAGAACAATTGATATAGCTGCAGTAGAAATGTTTTTTTCTGCAAAACATTGACTTTAATCCCGTATTTCATTCACAGCAGAAAATCTGCAATTGGGTAGCAGTTCTACTTTTATTATCATGCAATGTTTTTACTTGGCTGCTAAACTATACCCATCCAATGAAAATCCTCTGACCTGTGGCATTTAGCAGTACTGGAGGGATGCGGATACATCAGAAAGGTATAGCTATAGCAGGAGATAAGAGCGTTTAATATCATTTGGTAACTTTTTCTATAACAAACGTCTTTTAATGTAAAAATGCAACTAGGTGAAAATATTTTAGATATCCTTTTTCAATAGTATTATTTATGTTTCCATGCACAGGCTGATAATCAATGCTTGTGTGGGTTTCCTCCCACAGTTTAGTCGCAAGCTGCAAAACGCCTGTTGCTCAAAAAAGTTCCTCAGCTTCTTCGGGGCATTTTTGCATGCATTTCCCTATGGATTGCATTGGTTTTGATCTGCCAGTTAAGATGTGCATCTTCATAAGCATGCGTCTAATAGACATGTGCACTGCCAAAAAATTCGTTTCGTTTTAAATTCGGATTTGTGTTCTTTCGTTTTTCAGGATTCGGGTGTGAAAGTCAATTCGGATTCGGACGAAATTCGGTAGCGTTAGTACGAACGTTCGTTTCGTTTTCTGTTCTTATTCGTTTCTTATTCGTTTCTTTGCAGCAAAAGTGACATTTGAGGGGGAAATTTTTTTTTTCTCCTTCTCTGTCACTTTGCTCCAACGAACAAAACGAATAAGAACAGAAAACGAACGTTCGTACGAACGCTACCGAATTTCGGAAATGGAAATTCGGATTAGTTTGCATTCGTTAGGTCTGTAATTCGGAATTCGGATACATCCGAATTTCCAAAAATTCGTCCGAATTTAGATTCTGAACGAAACGAATCGCACATGTCTAGCGTCTAATGTGCCTGAAAATGTGCAACAACCGCGCAAAAACAAGCAAAATAAGTTCGGCAAAACCGCGCACAAAAATCTGAACTCTGATCCATTTGTTTACCCCACACCTGGCCGGAGCTGGGTATAACCACCCGTTTAGATCCAGCTACCCACACTAACATTGGGCTTACAATCAAATGACAGCTCTTTAAGCTGTGAAAAATACAAGGCGAGACCTCTTCTTTAATATGACAAGTCAGTGAGGGCTGGTTCACATGGGAATTAATAGAAAGCATTTGTGAAGGGTTTTGTAAGCATTTAAAATGCTTTGCATAATCTCACAAATGCAAGCGAAAGTGTTATTACACATTTATGTTTCAGACAAGTGGGTAGGAGACCTTGCATTGTTATGTTTTGGATACTGTAAGCAAGGCTTGGTAGGTACTAAAGCCCATGAACACACACTTCTTACGCCTGTAATAACATTTAATGAGAACTCTTCTCAAAATGCCTCTGAACACCTGTATGGAATTTTCGAAGCTTCTGATGGTGTAACATAGCTGTTTGCAGACAAGTGTCAAAAAGTCTGTTAAGTGCATGCTAAAGCATATACTGCATGTCAAAGCTTGATAAAACGCATGGTAAGCTTTGATACCAAATGTAAATGTGAAATAGTCCTGGCTTTTACTTCAGAATTTAACAGAAATATTGTAATGATCCATATAGGTTTACACACACTTAAGCTTTGCTTGACTTTCACTGTCCTTGACACAGTTTCCCCCCCCCAGGTTTTATAAGATTGCTCCAGTGTAAAATAAAAAATAAAAAAATCACACTAGCAAACTGCAAAGCAAACTGACCTTGTGCATATCTTCTTCTAGTGCTGTGATGAACTCCTTTTCGTGTCTGTCCAGCATCTCCAGTATGGCTTGTAGCTGTTGAATTCTAAATGAACAAGTCTTGGTTGTCCCAGAAGCAAATGCCTCTCTAGATTTTTTGAGAGTTTCTTCACATAAAGATGAGGTGGAGGATTTCCTTGTTTCCACAGCTACTGTCCTAAGATATATACATTAGGGCTGATTTACTAAAAGAGTAGAGGCTGTTTACCAAGCAAGGTGTATGATCACTTGGAAAAGGATCTTTGAATGATCATAAATAAAATAAACTTGTGCTACCTTTCAATACCGGATCATGTGCAAGGAAAATTAAAAACACAGGCTTTTGCTAGCACATGATTGGTTGATTGAGGCGAACACTTACTTGATTTACTTTGCAAAGTGAGCCCCCTCTTGTTTCTTTAAGCTGGGGATACAATGTTAAACTTTTATTTGAAAACCCATTGGTTTTTGCAGCGTTCATTTGATTTTCTAATGGTTAATGGGGTCAAACAAAATGACTTAGAAAAAAAAAAAAAACACAACCACAAACAAAAAACCAAAAGGAACAGGATGGAAATGTTTTTCTTGAAAGAACAAAATGTTAACATTGAATGCAGTTTTCATTTAGGAAATTCCATTCATTTCCACAATCAAATTTTTAATTTAGATAAAACCTTGAAAGACTTTCTTCATGTTTCTGATGGCAGGGTCAAAACTAAAGGGTGCAGAGGAGGCATGTTCCCCGAGTGTCGCATGGGTGGGGGAGCGGCCGCCCGGGGTAGCTTGGTCACTCCGGCACTGGCTGTGGCCTCTATCCCTAGCACAGGCAGAACTAAAAGGGTGGCATCAACTGGACCGTGCAGTTCTATCACTAACCACTGTCAAGGTCCTTCTCTGCTGCTAGAAGGAGAGAGTCCGCTCCCGTCATGCAGCCGCCCCCGCAGCAGCAAGCGGCGGCACATGAATTGGAGGGTGGCTGGAAGATGAAGGGCTGCGCGCAGCAGAAAGTTTGTTGATGCTCCTTAGCCCCTTCCCCCGGCGCAGGGAGTTTGTGAATGCTTCCCCCCTCCCCCTCAAGGTGAACCCCTAGGATGCAACACTCAGCAGGTGAAAAGCACAACAAGTGACTGTGGTGAGTAAAATATTTAATAAGTTGTATTTAAAATTTAAAAAAAAAAATCCTACAAATAGTAACTAGCAAATATGTTTTGAAGAACAATAGGTAGGTGACTCCAATTATACTACAGGGCAACTTACATTCTCTTGAAGCTATTGAATCACCAGGAGAATGACAGTTGAGAGGAAATAATATTTTCTTAATAGAAATATTGTCAAGCTGAGGATTGTATTGATTTTGTCTTTATATAATGTTCCAGGTATTCTTCTTCTAGTATTCCAGGTTCTAGTATTGTAATAGAACAGTACTACATTCTTTACTCCCATGCTCTCCGTTCTTCAATTCTGAACTGTATGTGATCTCACCTATGAAAACCCTTTGAGTGTCAGCTACACCATGGGGGAAATTTATCATAACAATTGCGCGTGTTTTAACTCTCATATGGTTGCATAGGATATATTTGCGCCAGATTCATGATGCTAATGTAATGTTGTTCATAAATCAGATTAAATAGACTCCAGGAAAGAAGCCTCGTAACTCCAGGCAAATAGCTTAACTGTCGCTTCTTGAAGAAGTGGTCATGGGGACTTCTTAAGTAGCGATTGTTTTGTTAGGTGATGCTCCAGTTTCAGACAGCCGCAGAACAAGTGCAGATGTAAACAGTTGCGAACTTTCGCAAAACATGTGCAATCAGACAAATAGTGCAAGCTCTGGTCAAAAGAGGCGCACATGTTAAAAGGAACAGCTAAACAGCCCCCCCCCCCATACGTGTATAGTTACATGTATAGTGATAAGCATGGCTGAAGCTAGGAGGGGTGCCGCGCCTGAAGAGAGCGGCAGAATGGCCCAGCTGAGCTACAGAGGAGAGGCTTGAATGAAGCAATTTTAGGCCTCACCTCTGTGGCAAATCAGTGTCTTTACACCCACTTTTATACTCTATCATGGAGGTGAGGCTTGAAATCGCTTCATTCAAGTCTCTCTCCATGACAGATTAGAGGGGGCACTGCTGGGAAAATAGAAGTGAGCCCAAAAGTGGCTTTTTAATTAACAAAGGAGTACTGGACAATGAGGCGATTTGAAGCCTCACCTCTGCGATGGACCAGGAGGGGCGTTTCTGCGAGAAAAGAGCCCAGAAGTGTGGGGTGGAGGCAGGGGAGGTGTGGATGGAGAACTTATCGAGGGAGGGAAGCAACCCTGAGTCTTTGCCCTGGGTGACGGACTGTCTAGCTTTGCCTCTGTCTGATGGCATTATTGAACGTTCGGAGAAGATTTTTCATGTGAACATACATTATGTCATCTTCAACCCTATTGTGAAAAAGGTGTCAGATAACTGTGTACCTCTTCCCTTGCAGCACTGTAATATGTGCTCAATTCCCACTGCAGTGTCTGCATACAATATCCTTTGGTTTCCTCCCACAATCCATACACATAAAAAGGTAGGTAGACTGGTTTAAGTTTCAATTTACTGAGTATATGGGTACAAAATTGTAAGGATATTACAGCTTATAACTTAAGGGCATTAGCTAATGTGGATGGTAAGCAAGCCGTGCACTGTGGACCATGTCAGTATTTTAAACATTTAAAAAAAAAAAAAAACGTTTCAGTATTAAGTGACACTAAACTCAGAAGTTCAATCTTAAAAATGTATTCAAGTACCTGAACTATTAACAAAAATGTATCTTATTTGTGTATCACTCAGCTGTAGGTCTGAGGGTGGCTTCTTTTATTCCCTATTTTTTTTGTACATGTTATACATGTGAAAATTACTTAAAACCCCCAAACATATATTTTCTGAAAGCCAAGACCGTATAGAATAAAATGGTGGCAGTTGCAAATTTTTATGTTGCACGATATTAGCGCAACTCCTTCTCAAACCCCAAAATGTAATGATAAATGCACTTAAATGCCCCAAAACACAATACCCTTTTAAAAAAAAAAATAATAATTATATATATATATATAAAGATTAGGTTAGGTTACAATGAGTAAATAGATACCCAACATGTCCAGTTTAAAAATTGTGTGCGTCTGTAAAACTGCAACAAATTTCAATACCCCAAAAAGGCCATAGGCGACGCTTTAAAAGCCCCCACAGTTCATCAGTTTAGAGATACGCATAAATATTGGCCCTAGAATTAATGATCTCACTCTGGCGTGCACGGCGTTACCAAACATGTGTAACGCGATCGCCATTTTCATACATAGGCGCACCTATGTACTAAGACAGTCTGCTTTACAAGTGTAAACCAAGTCTGTTTAAACAGGCCCGATGCCAGTGACGTACTATGGACGTCACTGGTCATTAAGAGTTTATTTTGTATTGCTGTAGTCCTCTATAGACAGTCTCCTTACACTTTCTCCCGGCTGCCTCTCCTTGCTCTTTCTTGTGAATTCTCCAGAAGAAAAAAAAATTGCAGCGCAAGGTGTAGCACCTTGCGCTGCAATTTTTTTTCTTCTGGAGAGGAGTGCTTGGGTTTCACTTGAAGAAAAGGTGACAACCCTAGGATGGACTACCATCTCAATACAATGGCGTCTATCCAGGGAGTGAGATTGGAGCGGTGGCTACTTTACAACACACACAGGGACCATGGGGAACAAAAGTAGCCACCCTCCAGAAGGAAGGACAGTGTCAGCACCAATTCAGAGATTTGAGGATCTACAGCTGAGTGATACACAGATACATTTTTGTTAATAGGGTACTTGAGTGCATTTTTAAGATTTAACTCCTGAGTATAGTGTAACTATAGAGAAACAGCTACCCTCTGATACCTCTCACTTGAACCACCTATTAAGAAACCGTAGGGCCTATTTACATCTATGTGATATATTGCCGTGCACCATGTTAAGGCAGTCCATTAATTTAAATGGGCTTCCTAACATACAACTGTGCATGCACTTTTTTTTAGCAACACAGTGCACCGCATAGTACTGCGATTTGTGGGATGCAGCAACACAGGTGTGTTGGGTGCAGTTCAGAAGGAGTAACACCACAGCAACATAACCCGTGTGAGTCCAGCCTTGAACAAGACATTCAAATGCTTGTATTAATCATTTGCTTCGATAGATTTTAGATGTGTATTTTATATGCATACACCTGTAGCATCATTCACATAACTTTTTGCAGGGCCGAAAGGTACTGAGTGCGCAGGATGTTTATATCCTCGCCCAGTTGTCACAGCAAGGCATGGTGCATATGGACTTCAGTGTGTTTGATGCTTATAAAGCAACCTGCAGCACTGGTTTGTGAGTGTTAAAGACAGATAAGAGTGTTGGCGGTCACTTTAAACATGTTGCTAGCAGGCTTTCAATACATTTAAGATAGTCAAAAGACTGCTAACAGCTTGCTTAAGTGTCAGCCAATGCGCTCATCATCCTCTGTAGCGGTAAAAACGTTTAAAGTGTCGCCTATGGCCAATTTTGGTTGCCGTCGTTTTCTGCGATGTCGCGGGTGCGCGCAATTTTAAAGCTTGACATATTTAGTGTCTATTTAACCAACGTGACCTGATCTTTTATATTTGACCAAAAAACTGGGTAATAATAAATGTTTCCTAACATAATGTTACAAAAAAGGTTTTTTTTTCAAAATTTTCAGTAATTTTTCCTAATTATAATAAAAAATAAAACCCGTAGTGGTGATTAAATACCCCCAAAATAAAGCTCTATCTGTCCCCAAAAAATGATATAAAATTAATTTCAGTACAGCGTTGCATGACGGAATAAACGTCAAAGTATCACAGCGCTGAATACTGAAAAATGGCCTGGCCAGGAAGGGGGTCTAAACACCTGGTCTTGAAGTGGTTAAAATCCCCAAACTGGAGAGAAGGGGTATATAAGGGCTTTATTTATACTAGCACCCCTAGAAGACCCTGGCAATTATAGGAAATATACTAGTCAGTGCCATCTAGGTGTACTAGTGCTGGACAGAACTTTCATAAATGAACCCCTTAGTGTTTAATTACCAGGGAATGACACTAACCTTCTTAAAACCCGAAACCAACGGGAAGGAGAGGGAGAAGCGTTTGCGTTATCCATGGCGTCTTTCCTTTCCTATCCATAAGCTTAGTCAAATCCCCTGGAAAAAAAAAAAAATTTTAAATAAGCTTCAGGCATACTAGAGAAAAGTTATTTCAGTTTTTACATTTCATGTTAATAGGCACACACTAGTCTCTGGTATACTTCTGTTGTAAATGTAATCATTTTGAGAAACTAAAACTTGAAGATTGTCTACAGGATGCATACTGGCCTCCATCTTACCACAATGAGTACATGTAATTTTACAAAGCATTATATTTCTATGGTATTGGCTTCAAATAGCTATCAACATGGAGGAAGAGAGCATTTGTATCTAACATGTAGACGCTGAGACTAAACCCAACCCAAGTCAACTTAAAACCAACATTTGCCAATACTAAATATTATATACACAAGTTGTAAAATGTTTCTTCATTTCCATGTACCATATGTAAGAGACCAAACTATTTAAGAATACATAATAACTGTGCAAATAACTCTTCAGAATATAATCAACCTCCACACGCTGCTACTGCAGCTCGTTGCATCCACCTCAAACCAACTAGTAGGGCTGTGTGACAAATCCAATCCCTAATCAGCCAATAAGAAGCAACATTGTTCAAAGTGTGTGATTAACCCATTTATTTCCTTGATTTGCAACCACCAGTTTACAGCTCCATGTGTAAATGCATGCAAATGATATTTGATTATTTTATATAAACCATACAATTCTGTGTTGGCACATTGCATTTATGGAGGAAGCTGATGGTTTTATGTGCACATGTCCAACAATCACAGATGTGCTTGCTGTGGGCTAATCATGCATGGTGCACATAAGGCAGTAGCTGTACATGATGTATTAGGCTGGATTCATACCCTACAATGTGCTTTTGTTTATACATTTTTACATTAATTATAACCAATCATATATTTTCTCACCCCGTTATTGTCATGGCGAAGGTATGAACTAGCACCATTTAAAACAATGTCTAACCTGTGGATATGAGGTGCATTATAATGCATGCCCCTGAAGTGTAGGTCAGGCCCAAACCTTTTTCTGGTAATGGGGAGAGAGTAGCAGATTTGTATTGCTATTGGGCGCTCCATTCACCCTCACTTCCTGTCCTGCTGACATTGGTATCACGACAAAGGAAGTGGGGGAAATTTTTAAACAGGAAAACAAATGACATGGCTTCTAATCTTTCCCTACTCTAGTAAAGAAAAGCATTTTTTCTCAGTGTGGCTGGTATGATAGAGACTTCCCATCACTTCCTGTCTGGTAAAACGTCAGCAGGACAAGAAGTGAGGGGAAATCCCTCAAATCATGGAACCCCATCTAGCAGTAAAAAACTGACATGGGTTAATATCCTTCATCACTCCAAAACTAAGACAAAAAGGTTTGGCTGTGCATACACTTTAAGGCAGGGGTAGCAAACCTCCGACCCTCCAGCTGTGGTGAAACTACAAATCCCATGATGCATCTCTCTTCTGGAGTCATGCCTGTGGCTGTGAGAATCTTGCAATGCCTCATGGGATTTGTAGTTCCACCACAGCTGGAGGGCCGGAGGTTTGCTACGGTACCCCTGCTTTAAGGTTTATATATAAACATATCCAGCTGTATAGTTCCTGTGGAGCAGGGGTGGGCAACTTCAAACCTCTAGCTGCTGTCAGTCTCATGAGGCACTGCAAGACTGACAGGTTACAGGCATGACTCCCAGAGCAAGAGGCATGTTGGGATTTGTAGTTAAGGAACAGATGGAGGGCTCACCCCTGCTATGGAGTGTCTCTGACAAAAGGGCTATTAAAGGAGAACTATGACATGAGTGATTTCCACTCACGTCATAGTTCTAAGCCGACCTGTGACAATGAGACTGTCACAGGTCGGCTCAGTAGATCGGGAGGTGAGGGAAAACATACCGGGTTCCCTCACCTCTCGATCCTGTCACGGCTCTCTGCTGTGACAGGGGGAGGGGCTGGATTCCCCTCTCCCCGCTCCGATCTGCCAGCGCTGACTGGCGGAACGGACGGGGGAGGGGGCGGGTACAGCTGGCTCTGCCTCTAGATAGGCAGAGCCAGCTGTCACTCACGCAGCTGGGCGGATCCCGTCATCTAAGTCGGGATCCGCTCCAGGTGCGGCGTCTCAGTATACCGCGAGCTGTAGCTCGCGGTATACTGAGCTTAGGGTGACGGGAGGACGCTAGTTTGTGTCCTCCCGTTACCCCAAGGAGAACTATGGGGGAAAGCCCTGACCCCATAGTTCTCCTTTAAGGGCTAATACATCTGTGGCCCAATTATGCTTCTCATGCTTTGTGTAGCAAGACATTTTCTTACAGCATGCTGAAGGGTCAGTTGAACTCCTGCCAAACCCCTTTTTCTAGTTTTAGATTAAAAAAAAGTGGGGGTTAGAACATTTGCCATGTTTTTACTGCTATCTATGTCCCCATTGGATTGAATCATTCCCACTTTCTGTCCCAGTGATAGTTGTCACTTGTAGAGAAATTGAGGGGAAAGCTAAGATTTAAGGCCGCGTTCACACTAGATGCAGTGCGTTCCGACTCTATTCTGGACAGAACGCACTGCCTCGCATTGCGGCCGGCTCACTTTTTGGTGGGGCAGGAGGGGGCGTGGCGGGCCATTAAAGTGCATGACACCGTAGCCACACCCACTGGCCGCAATGCAATTGGCCGCACGGGATCGCAATGCACATTAGGCCTGTGGTCCGGTATGGTGCGATCAAAAAAGTGCTTCCACGCCCCCTCCTGCCCCACCAAAAAGTGAGCCAGCCGCAATGCGAGGCAGTGCGTTCTGGCCAGAATCGGGCCGGAACGCACTGCATCTAGTGTGAACGAGGCCTATAGTTATCAGCGGAACAGGAGATGAGGATAAATCTCCCAGTGAGGACACCTGTTATAGGTGGGGTTTCCCCTCGCAGCTGAAAGATTTGCTCTCACGTTTTGTTGTGTCTCTGGAACATGAAGTGAGGGGAGTGGGGACATAGCTGACAGGGGTTATAACCCATTGAAATGACATCCAATGTGATCAAACATATCACATATCACCTTACATCATTCAAGCGGGATGCTGCGTAACTGTGAGGCCGCTAGGTTAGGCCAGTAAACATTGCAGAAAGGGCCTTATATTTGTCAGGTCCAGCGTGATCTGGTCACATTGCTATACAGTAAGAACATCTTGCGTATTACATAGGACATTAGGGAGAATAAGTAGGATTAATAGGCCTTCAGGGTAGTGGCCTAAGACCAGCTGGTTATGAACTCAGCATGCGGTAGCTCTCGTGACATAAGGTAAGTAACAACAGGGACTGATACAACTTAGACATTAAAAGACAAAGGTCACAGAAAAGTAGGGATGAAGTAAAGGTGAGAAACCAGAAGGAGGAGTCCCCAGTGGTAAAACCACAGAGTACTCTAGGGCGAGCAAGAGGATGCGGTGTCGTGGAGGGAGATCCTGAAGTGCACCGGTCGGAGCATCCTCCTGTGGGGCGTGCTATCCCTCACCCTGAATGGGGGGTCACTGAGATGTAGTAGGTAACCTGAGTGTGCGTCTGTCTTCTACGTGGGTTTTTGCATGAGTTCCGCGTATGTCTTTCCCTGGCAAAAGTGGGTCCAAGGTGCCCATAGTATGGAGAATTTGGTAAATTTGTCTTGTTTGGTGAAAAGGAGTTCTTCCATTTCAGCGATGTAGTTTACCTGAATAAGCCATTCGGTGAGAGATGGGGGCCTCACCTCTCTCCAGAGTCTAGGTATCAGTGATCTAGCTGCATTGATCAGATGTTTGTAGAGAGTTTTGAGGTCGGCTGGGGGACTTATCTGCATCTGGATGCCCCCTTTCATAAAGGGGACACCCAGATGCTGCCCCTCTCCTTGTAAATAGTTGTGACCCCTACTCATTCACCAAAGAGTAGTAAGAGGAAATAGTAAATAAACACAACAACTTGAAAAAGTATTTTATTTGAACAAAAAACACCAGGCAGTTTTTGACAATTCCTTTAATAGTAAAGTGTCTATCAATGTAATCCAAAGGTCAATCACGTCATCCAGCGATGTAGATCCTTGTTAATCACAATGAACAACGCCCGCTGCCTCACTGAAATTAAAAAAGTCCTCTCGCCTTCTGCCCCTCCTGATGCCGCTGAATCCTCTGCCGCAAAATGACAGCTCTGGCCCAGATGTAAACAAATGGGCAGAGCGAGTTGTGGCGTCACGACTTGCTCGGCTCATTTATTTTCATTCTATGTCTGCTCTCTGTCCTCAAATGGCATGTAAACAAATGGGCAGAGCAAGTCCAGAAAGTCCTGGAGCAAAAGGCAAAAGAATCCCCCCTTTTTTGTTATCTGGACGCCATCGGGGAAGCATATCGGGTATACGGTGGGGTGGCGTGGCTGCGCTATGACGAACAGTTTCGTCAGCGTAAGGCCATCAGACCATCCATTCGCTGGGATCACAAGGACATCAGCCTCTGGATGAAGCTGATGACCTCGGCTAGGGTGTCCTCCCCATCTTTTCATGGGGCGGCCGGGAGCTTCGCCGTGGCGGGACAACCGGCCGCCAGACGAAAAGGTTTCTGTTGGCAGTTCAACGAGGGTTCCTGCAGGTTTGGAAGCGGTTGCCGCTTCAAGCACGAGTGTTCCAGTTGTGGGGGAGGCTACCCCGTTTTAAACAAGGGAGGGGTCGTACCGCCGATCCTGTGGGGAAAAGGGATGACTCCGGTGAGGGTGGAAAGGATGCGTTCCTTCCTAAGTAGATATCCGGATCGGGCTGCGGCTGCCCTCTTGGAGGTAGGGTTTTCCGAAGGCTTTCGGATTCCTTGTTCTCTGACCGTCGTTCCTCCGTTCGCGCGTAATCTAAAATCTGCCCTTACTTATCCCTCCATTGTTACTCAGAAACTGGCTAAGGAGGTGAGTTTAGGTTGCATGGGGGGCCCCTTTCCTTCCCCCCGTTTCCCAGGTTGGTAGTTTCGCCACTAGGGGCAGTTCCCGAGAAGGAACCTAACAAGTTCCGCCT